GTCTTGACGCTTTTACGGCGGCAGAGGGGAAATATGTGTTTCATAACGCGGGAGAGTCGAGGGAGAGACGGATGCAGAGGGAGGCCGCGCTTTCGTTTGTTTGTTTGTTTGTTTATTTTACTTTTTATTGGTGTTTATTGCTTTCTATTTTATTGTTGTTGTTCCTTTTCAGTTTATTTCCTTTTTATTGGTGTTTATTGCTTTCTATTGTTGTTCTTTTCAGTTTATTTCCTTTTTGGTTTTATTGTTTCTATTCTGTTGTTTCTATTTTATTGTTCTTTCAGTTTATATTGGTGTTCTATTTCTTTTCAGTTGCTTGTTGTTGTTCCTTTTCAGTTTGTTGTTGTTGTGTATTGTAAGTTTTTTATTTTTGTTTTGTTTATGTGTTTAATCCGATTAATATAGATAGATAGATACATTAATTATTGTATGTCAATTTATCTACCGATATCTATTTATTTTTTTATGTTTACTTACATCAACCCCTAATTCTGCCTGTCCATCCATCTGTATCTGTGATTAACTTGCTAGTTAACTATTACAAATTATCCATTAACTCTCTTTATCTCTCTCTCTCTCTCTTTCACTCACGCATTCACACACTCTCTCTCACTCACTCACTCATTCTCTCTCTCTCTCTCTTTTTTTCACTCACTCTCTCTCTCGCTCTCCTTCACTCTTTCACTCTCACTCATTCATTCCCTCTCTCTCTCTCTCTCTCTCTCTCTCTCTCTCTTCTCTCTCTCTCTCTCTCTCTCTCTCTCTCTCTCTCTCTCTCTCTCTCTCTCTCTCTCTCTCTCTCTCTCTCTTCTCTCTCTCTCTCTCTCTCTCTCTCTCTCTCATCCTCATACTCTTCTTTCTGTCTGTCTGACTCTCTCTCACACTTTCTTTCCTTCTCTCCATCCATCCCATACTCCTCCCTCCTTCTCTTCTCTCTCTCTTTTCTTTCCTCTCTATTCTCTCTCTCTTTCCCTCTCCATCTCTCTCTCTCTCTCCTTTTTAACTTATCCACTTCTCCCAGCCTTCTCTCCCTGCCTACCTCGTTAGCTCTCCCTATTTATCTCCAAATACCAACCCTTCTCTATTAATTTTCAGAACTAAAAATCCCATCCCTCGAGCCCTTCACAAACTCAATTTCAGTCATCCTTTCCCCTTTCTTTTCCCTCTCCATACACTCTTGTCCAAAATCTTCGGCCCCGTTTTCTTCAAAGGCCAATCAATCGCCTCGGTCTGTGTTCCTGTTTCTCCGAGACGCGTGCAGACCGCCTCGTCCTATTAAGCTCCGTCGAAAAGTCTTTCCAAGGGTAAACACACAAGTCTGGAAGATAAAATGAATTCCTCCGAACGAAGACGACCCTCTCGCAGTAGCTTCCTGAGAGTGGACTCGAGAGGAGGGAGGGAAAATAAACATGGAATAATGCCAAGAATGCGACGCGAGTAAATCCGAGAAGTCGGAAGTGAGGGAAGTGAGAGGCAATTGTGAAAAATCGGGAAGTGATCATCGCTAAGTCACGGAAGATTGAGATGAAAGCAAAGGGAGAAAGATGAGTAGAGATGACAAAGTGATGGATGTAGATTGTAGATTGAGAGATTGTGATGATAATCTATGAGGCAAGACATGAGGAACGAAGCACACTGAAGCTACATTTGGGAATGATAACAGGGAAGAGCAAAATGATAGTGAAGGACGCGATAAAACAAAGATTAAGATTAGCAGTTTTATGATCACTATACAAACTGCGAGGAGATAAATGACTGTGGTTCAAAGTGAAGTCATTAAGTTTTAGGAATGTTGGAAGCCGACTTGGAATAAAAGCTGGGAAGGGCAAAATGATAGTGAAGATGGTGAAACGAAGGCTAGGAATACGTCATTATGAGCACAATACAGTGAGAGAAGTAATAAAGTTGGTGTATATCTAATCAAATATCAGAAATAAGGAAGTAGAATTCCGAATAACAATTGGGCAACAGAAGATGGCGAAAGAAAGAAAGAAATTAGCAGTATCGTGAACTCTTGGCAGATTGTGAAAGGACAAATGGTTATGGTACTAAATAATCTCCATAAGTTTCAAGAATGATAAAGGATACTGAGCTTAAGAGTTGCGTGACAGTGTAGAGTTTGTACAAGCTCCTCTAGCTGCCGTCAATTAACTTCACTTATTGCATTGCCTGCTATTTGCATTTCATTGCGAGAATAGCAAGAGAGAACACCAAGGATAGTGGGAGGAAGAATGAGATAGAAAGCGACTAGAGAGAGAGAGAGAGAGAGAGAGAGAGAGAGAGAGAGAGAGAGAGAGAGAGAGAGAGAGAGAGAGAGAGAGAGAGAGAGAGAGAGAGAGAGAGAGAGAGAGAGGAGAGAGAGAGAGAGAGAGAGAGAGAGAGAAGAGAGAGAGAGAGAGAGAGAGAGAGAGAGAGAGAGAGAGGAGACAAAGAGAAAGAGAGACACAGAGGAGACATAGAGAAAGAAAAAGAGAGAGAGAGAGAAGTATCACAGAGCAAAATACAAAATGAAAGACAGCGAACAGAGAGAGAGACAGAAAAAAAAGAAATAACAAGAGTTTTCGTCCCATCCCAGTATGTTTCAAAGATTAACATCTGACAGTTCACACACACGGCCAGGCATTAATTGCGCAATACCGACAGTTGGAACAAAGAACTGGCGATATTCGTCATCAGTTCAACATCCCACCAAAAGCTATGGCCATTGAGTGTGACAGACAGTAATAACCTACAGTGCCAGATCGTAGGAGCAGGTGACAGGTGTGAATGACCCGGGATGACCAGAGATAGAGTACGGAGGGAGGAGAGCGTGGATGGGGGCCTGCCGGGTGACAGAGATGGATGAAACTGATGGATAATCGCCTCGGTTGATGACCTTCCTCTGCGGGGGGGGGGGGGGGGGGCGGTAGGAGGTGAGAGGGGAGGGGGAGAGGGGTGTTATTTGATACAGAAGGGAAACGAGAGCTTGATTGGGGTGGATCCTTTGGCACAGTAATGTTGGTTTCTGTATCTTGGGTAAGGACACAGGGAAGAGAGAAAAGCTTATGCAATATTTTGGTAAACAGTGATTAGAAAGAAAAAAAAAGTATGTAATACAAATACAGAAATCAATAACAGTTATATACAAAAATATATATCACTAATACTACTTCTGTTACAACTAACAATAATGATCATGATTGTGATGATAATGATAATGAAAACAATACCACTATTTCTACTACCACTACCAGTAATGACAATAACAGTAACAACGATTACAATGCTGACAATGATAATGACAGTAATAATAACAAACATAACAACAAAACAACAAAGAAACACATCCATACCATTACAAAAAGAAGGAAGGAGTAGCCAAAGAAACCAAATAACAAAATCAATAACAAAAAACATAGAAACACATCCAACCATAAAAAAAAGGAAGGAGTAGCCAAGAAACAAATAACAAAAATCAACAACAAAAACATAGAAACACATTAAAAAAAAAGAAGGAAGGAGTAGCCAAAGAAACCAAATAAAAAAAACAACAAAACAACAAGAAACACACCCATAAAAAAAAGAAGGAAGGAGTGCCAAAGAAACCAAATAACAAAAACAACCAATAAACATAGAAACACACCAAACCATTAAAAAAAGAAGAAGGAGTGTCCAAAGAAACCAAAAACAAAAATCAACAACAACAAAAAAAACACATCCAAACCATCAAAAAAGAAGGAAGGAGTAGCCAAAGAAACCAAATAACAAAAAAACAAAAAAAACATAGAAACACATCCATACCATTAAAAAAAAAGAAGGAAGGAGTGTCCAAAGAAACCAAATGAGGTTGCTAAGAAATCCAAAAGTTAATGTAGGAAGGCACCGCGCGTGTCTCTAAACTTTTCCCAATTTGCATATTCCAAACGGAAAATTGATATCGGTACTCAATCACACTCAGACACAGATATACCCGAATAACACGGTTTCCTCTTGTATGATTTTTATCTTTCTTTTCTCTTCTATTTTTTTTTTTTTATTTTTTTTTTTTTGTTGTTTTGTGTTTGTTTTGTAAGTTTTAAAGTGATAAATTATCCTAAGATAATGTCGATGGATAGGTAATAGCGATGAAGATAAAATAATAATAATAATAATAATAATAATAATAATAATAATAATAATAATAATAATAATAATAATAAATAGATAATAATAATAATAATAATAATAATAATAATAATAATAATAATAATAATAATAATAATAATAATAATAATAATAATATAATGATAATAATAATAATAATAATAATGATAATAACAATAACAATGATAGTAATGATAACAATAATGACAATGATAATATAATGGGAGGAGTAATAATAATGAAATTAGCAATGAAAGTAAAATAGCAATAACAATATGATAATAATAATGATGATATGATGAATAATATAAAATAATAAGGATAATGAATGATAAATTGTAATTATTATTTTATTATTGATATTTTATCATTACCATTAATATTATTTTTTTTGTTATCATTATTATACTATTGTTATTAGTATTTCTTATTATGATTATTTGATTTTATTTATTATCATTATTATTATTATTTATTATAATATAATAATAATAATTATAATAATAATAATTATATTTATTATTATTATTATTATTATATTATTATATTATTATTATCATTATTATCATTATTATTATCAATTTACTATTATCATTACTATCATCATATTTATTATCCTTATTATTTATTATTATTATTATTATTATCATTATTATATCATTATTTTATTATTATCATTATTATTTTTATTATTATTATTATTATTATTATATTATTATTATTATTATTATTATTATTATTATTATTATTATTATTATTATTATTATATTATATATTATTATTATTATTATTATTATTATCATATTATTGTAGTCATTATTTCATTGTTATCATCATTATCATTATTATTACTGTCATCATTGCGGATGGTATTGCTA